ATATATATATATATATGGGTGTGGTTTCTATAGGGCCGAGGCTCTAAACAATCAAAGTAAAGTACGAGTAAAGCGCACCTTCAAATAGTGTCGAAAGATGTTGTTTCAATACTAATAATCTTGTGACGGCTTGAAAATTTATTTTCATCTCTAATTATAAATTTAAAACTTTAAAAGTAGTATAGATCGAGCAAATCTATGAACACTTGAAAATCTTGAAAATTGACAGTCCGAAAATGCATTACAAGATGCACTATTTCTAATGCTAGAAACCCATTTTTTATCTTGTTCATACATATTGAGGTCGAGATGATCAATTTGAGGATTTTTGGGCTTCAAAACAACCTCTTTTAGTGGAATTTTTTTTTTTTGAGAGAAGTTAAAGTGGATTTTTGAGGTGTGCCCTAAATTGATTGTTTAGAGCCTCGCCCTTACATAAACTTATATATATATATATATATATATATATTTTGTATAGACGTGTCGAGGTTGTATTGGGTTTTTAAGGTGAAGTATTAAACACCTGTGTTGGTGTCCATGCAACACTGCTTTTGACAAGTTAAAAATACTTAGGAAATCATTATGCATCAAGTTTCATCAGAAATGAATACTTAGACAAAACATAAGAGGACAAGCAGGGTGATTTCTAAAACTGCACATGTCAAAATTTTATGCCTTTTCTTTCTTTTATGTTCTAGCTTGTATTTCAGGCAAATGCTTTGCTGACGGGTCAGACATTGGCTGCTTGCTACATGTTGAACTGCCTATATATTGTGAATATATACCACTCTTTCACCTTTACGTGTATCATAAATGTGATGAGGTGAAATTGATGAACTTAATTGGCTTTAGCTGGTGTTGCCCAGCTAAGCTGGTTCTTGGCGTTTTATGAGTACTGTTGTTTGAGGATATCACCAAAATGCGTCATTTTCTCTTTTGCTATGGTAGCTAAACGTATCATTTTCTCTTTTGCTGTGGTAGCTGGGAATTGCATGAGCACTGCATCAGTTGTATTAATTGAGGAGAGTGTGTATATTAGGCCCGACATTAGAAACTCTTAATGTTTTTGGTCCAGTTGTGAGTGTCGGTGCAAGAGTTCCTGTCATAATGCTTAACTCTGATTTTGTGAAATTCTATGTAGCGCTATTATCGTACATTTCATTTTATTTTTTTATTTTCTTTATTGCCAATTCTTCCATCTTTAATGCATTCCATATTTCGCTACCAATACCATATTTCACTACCATTTCCTCCATCCATTCCTTTCCAAGTGGCTTTTTGGAGGATATCCCTTCTCTCCCTCTCTTTGACCCCTTTTATGTTGGTATATGTTGAATCAGGGTGTTGTTTCAATGCTACATGTATCTTCGGTAGCATGCATTTGAAGCACTACATCTTTTTTGTTCCAGTGCTGCATTCATGGTACTCGTTGTAACACGGTTATCGCTTGAGTGCTACCATGCAGTCATCCTATTCTTCTGCATCCATTTGGACGTTGTTGGACTGTGGAAGGTCTGAATGTTGTTCGACTGTGGAAGGTCTGGGCTTGGGTTGGAATTTTTGGGTAGACAGTTTTTGGGGCCGAACGAGCAAGTCGAAATTGAAATTTCTTCCAAATTTTGAACTTGTCAATGAAGAGCTGGGATCTAGATTGGAGTTCCCAATGGGCTACTTGAATCCAACTGTGAGCTTGAATCAGTCGATGGGCAGTTGGGATTCTTACCAAGGGTTAGTGAGAGCAAAAACCACCTTCAACTCCAGAACTTAAAGAGGTGTGTCCTCTGAAATTGTAATGCTAAGGCAACTCTTTCCTTAATTTTTCCTCGGCCATGTGTCCTCTATTTCCGCCTAGTGTTCAGCCCGTCTTTCCATTTTTTGTGAGATTTTGGTTTGCCAAACCTAGTCACAGCACCTCTTTCATGCACACCAAAACACTAGTTTTTCGACTGACTGCCAACTTGGTCTAGCACATCTCTCTCTCTCTCTTCGTTACCTATGGATCTCTTCTCTGTTTATTTTCCTTGAGCCCCCATCTCTCTCTCATACACACCTACACCTTGCAAGTAGTTTAAAAGTAGTATTCCAAATTCCATTTGGGTGATGGGGTCATTAAAAGAAGAAAATAACAATATTATAATTTGGAGATTAAAAAGGTAAGGAGGGGTTAAAACGTTTTTTTCTTTTAACTCAAAGGGGGTCAATGGGCTTCCCATGAGGGTTTATCCTATCATCATCATTATAGTCTTTTTTCAACTATTCAGGGTTGGCTAAACGAATATTGGTTTGTCATTATGTTTTATCATGGGTCATATCTTCAGTGAAGTTTTAACTTTTCCCACCACTTCTATAGTTTATTTATGGTTATAAATATAAAGAGGAGTATATATATCCCCTATTTTTTCTAGTGCTATACATAAATGGAAACATTCCGGTTGTTATTTTGATACATGTCTAGAACAATGCTTGCTTTATTGGCTAAGAAGGTTCTTTTTTTTTTTTTTGATCCGAGAAAACCATCTTATACCCATACCATTAATAATAAGAGAAGATTCAAGTACCAGTAGAAATTGTCAAGGGGCTTATTATGACACCATATAAAGCAACAAACAAATTAAACGTGTGCTTCTGGCAACAAACTGTAATTTGAGTCCAAGTTTGCTCCTCTTTTGCGCGCACGTCTGCCACCCTAATTTTTTTTGGGTAATTTAGTAGGGAAGATTTATGCTTTCCCTACAACATAAAAGATCTATGCTTTCCCTACTATCCAGCCATCCAATTTTGATCAAGACAGTTGCTCACCGTTTGATCTTAGATTCGATGTCTCAAAGTATTTTATTTTTAATTTTTTTTTATACAAATTGTATGAATATAAAATTTGGTACGTGCGATCTTCTCATTGGGGCGCACCTATAAAAAAATATTAAACATAATTTTCGATAAAATATAATGACCAAAATACCTGTTGAAATTTTTTGGGGTATTTTGATTATTTTATTTTATTGAAAATATTTATTTTATATTTTTTGCCAGTGTGAGTTTAATAGAGGATTATACGTATAAAATTTGGTGTTAAAATAGCTTATAGAAAAAAATTAAAAATAAAATAGTGTATAGATGTGACATTGTGATTGGGGCAATCTTAGCCCTCGTTTCAGAATGGATGGTTGGATTTTATGCTATAGGTGAAGCATAAAAAGCTTGCCCTTTTTTCAAATGGTTTAGTTTGAAGTTGTTAGTGGGAATAAAGACGACAATATGGTGACTAGGGTGTGGGGGTGCTGCCACCGTATTACCTTCAACATAACCACCAGCAATAGAATTTGAGAAAACAACCTTAAAAGAAAAACACCAGGATTTGAGAATAAGAGTTCAAATCTTAAAAAATATGTACATAAGAGTGTGAGAGAAAATTTGTATGAGATAAAGTTCACAAGGGCCAGTAAAAGGAATTCTAGAGCGTGTTCAAGGTATTGTGATTCCCATGTCAAGAAACTAACGGCAACGTCCAAGAGGCTCAGTAGGGGATTAGTGTGAAAATAGTTTAAGGGTATTATCTCTAATAATTTAATATTTTAATAAAACTTAATTTTGATAATAAATTATTTGTTGTTTGGCAGTGTTTGTTATAAAGTTGTCTAATGTAAATCTTAAACGCAGTTTTACATAAAGTTTATCTTTTTGAGAAGCTGTTTTTAGCTTATTCAAAGTGATTTTTTCAAAAAAAATCACATTTTTTAGCTAAAGAATGCTAAAAATATTTATAAATCACTAAAGAGAAAATTAAGAATATTATACATGATATGAGATATGTACTAAATAAGTAACAAAATGATATTAATTAAAGTATTATTGATCTTAGATAAGACATCATACTCCATGTAAAATTGAATGTTCTTAAGGTCCATATAAAATTAATGGTCCTCTAAACAGGCCCTGAGTTACTCCTTGACAAAGAAGTTGGATAATGAATTGGTGTGCTTTATTTATGGAAAAGTATAGAATGAGATCTTTTACCATTGGTATAAGGTGGTCACAATTAATCTTGGCCATTGGATTTGAAATTGGGTGAGTGTATTTATTCCATTGACCAAGTTCAAGCTTTAAAATTTTTTTTTTTCGAATTTTGTGACACACGAAACTATCAAATTTCACATTAGAAGGTTGTAAGTGATTGTGACTACTTTGTATTGAAGGTAAATGGTCTCATTATATACAATCTCTTATTATTATGAGTGCATTTCACATACACTTTGCTTTTGAATGTTGTATTTCATATACATTTGAGTGGCAGAAAGGAATTATTTAAGATCAATAGAAATATGGCAAACTATTTTGCGAAGGAGAAGTGCATACCGCGTGGCACTAATTGCAAGCTTGTGTTACATTGAATTACAAGGTTTACAAACTACAGAAACTTGAACACAACAAAGGAAATGTATAGAAAGAGATTATTTATTTTTGGTACAAGGAGATCACGAAACATACTTCTCCATCAAATTTCAAACCAGATGGTTGTAAGAGTGTCATTAACTAGACTCTAAGTTCAAAAAAAGAAAGAAAGTAGTTTCGAACTTTGTGATTCGAACTTTGTAACACATTTTAAACCATCTAATTTGGCATCTAATGGCTATGAGTAATTGTAACTTTCTTATAAGAAAGATAAATCATCTCATAGTATATAATCCCAATACCAAAATATAAAGAGGTTAAAGAAGAATCAGTTCTATCACATGCTAAGGCTGTGATTTACGAGCTTCATTAGTAGAGAATGATAAGTAATTGTATACTACAAGACCGTATTGTATGCTTTCACATAGATTTAATGCTTCCGTGGGAGTATATTGTCTATTGCTCCCATGAGTAAAGTCCAATCTAGGAGTGCTTTTAGGACACTAAATTTTGAGATGTAATCTCTTCAACTCATAAACTAACCTCAACAATAATGAAAAAACAAATTTCCCTAGTTCCGCTTTCTATGTATAAGAGAAAAATAATGTCTCAAGGCTAAAACGGTCCATCTAGTTTTGGAGGGTGAAATAAGTGTGCGAAACTCTAAATTCAAATTTTTTTTATTTTGAATATAATCATCTAGTGATTTTTAGTTAGTTCCTAAAATTTCAAACTAAAATCGGTAATAGGTCTTCTAAGCGAAGCGATAGATATACATTATGCTCCTGTAGGAGCATAATCTACACACACTAGTCTTATTGTATGCTTTTCTATCATAACTACCCATGCCAACACATCTTTCTTATGTTATTGCTATTAGCAATAAAAGATCCACTTATGTTTATTACTTCACGTGTAGGACCGATTTCTTAAAAAAAAAAAAAAAAATTCGATCCAACGTTCTACACGCTTGACACAAACGAAGACTATACAGTCAAGCACCTCAAGGTACTGGGTTGCGCCAAAACAATAAGCGAAACATAGAGAACTTGGCGTAAAATTAATAAATATTTTGATTTTTTAATAGTAAAAATTATGATATTTTTACGTAATTTTCCTTCGGAAAGTATACCTAAATTTCCCAATTTTGTGAAAATGAAATTTTGGCGCTTAAATTAAACACGTGTTTGTCGCTCCTATAAATACCCCCCGCTCTTGACATTCGTATTTCTTCGTTTCCCGCTCTTCCTTCCAGCTCTCAAATGGGGAGGCTCACTCTCTTCTTCCTTCTCTTCATCGCTGCGAACACTCTTTGCCAAAGGTCAGTACTGAACCCTAACCCTAACCCTAATCCATCATCCTCTCTTCTTCCCTGCATCTTCTGCAACTCTTTTTTAGATCTATTCTCATGGTTTCCCTTAGTTTTCCTTATGTTTAGATTGAATATTTCTCTGATTGTCAGTTTTTTTCCTTAACCGTAGGTCATTATCTTCTCTTTTCTAGAGCTCTCGGCAACTCTTTTGCGACCAAATTTTGTTTTCTAAGGCTTTCTTGCTTCTGATATAAATTCCGGTTCTGATGTTTCAGAGATTTTCTTGTTTCTGATACAAATTCTGCTACTGATGACCTCTTAATTATTTGGAATTATTTGAATGTTTTCAACTGAGATTCATGCGATCTCTTTTCTGCAGTTGCTTCTAGTCTTTTGTTGCTCAAGAGTTATTCTTCTTTATGGTTCAATTTCCGGTTATTTAATGTAAAGATTGGGGCAATTGCCTTCTGTTAACTATTTTTAAACAAGGATTCATTAGATTGGCCGTTCCTTTTTTTTGGATCTCAGGAACTCATTTTCTAATTGGTTTCATAGTGTTTCAAGAGTTTTTCATCTGGTATAGATTTAAAAATTTGTCTCTGAGATTGTAAATTATTCAGAGATTATGGAGATTTCATTTACTTTCTGTTGAATGTTTTCAACCAGAGTGATCTCTTTTGTGCAATCTCTGCAATTCTTTTCTAACTAAAGTTCGCATGTTGTTTTTAGAGATTTTCTTCTTTCTAGTGCAAATTCCAGTTCTAATGTGAAGTTTCTCTGCTGAAACTATTGTAACGCTTTCACGATGACATAGATTTTCCTTCTGGCAAATGTTCTTCTCAGAGCTTCATTAGATCTCTTTGTTAACAAAGTGAAAATCTCATATTTATATTAGAGTATTTCTTCTTTCTAGTACAGTTCATCGTTCTGATTTTGAATTTTCTCGTCTGAAATCGTAATTCTTTTGAGACCATGGATATTTACCTTCTGTTAACTGCTTTCAAAGAGGCTTCACATGATCTCTTTTCTGCAAACCTTGCAATTTTTTTAAAACCAAGTTCTCATAGTTTGCAATAATTTTTCTTATTTCTGATACAAATTATGTTCAACTGTCTCTTCTGAATTTATAATCATTTGAAAATTATGGAGATGTGCCTACTTTTAACTGTTTTGCAGTGGAGTTTTATGTGACATGCCTCTAAAACTAGAGAGAACTCTTGCGATCATAAAGCCAGATGGTGTTACCCACAGCGATGTAATCCAGATCTTGATTCGTGATGCTGGTTTCCATGTTCTGGCGATGAAGATTATTCAGCTTGATATGAGACAAGCACTTCATTTGTACGAAAAACATTTGGATAGGAAGTTCTTCCGTAAACTCATAGAGTTCATGATGAGGTACCTCCTTTTTGGACTCAATATGTTGCTTCTCTTTTATTTTTGGAGTTTGGTCATCATTTTATGGTTCAGTTCTTCTTGTGAGTTTAATCTCTTTGAAATTTAACGGTCACTAAAGATTATATTGTTTGATGGATGCCATTGCTCGCAAAAAGTAATAAATTACGAATTCAAAGCTAGCCTATACAAGCATTTAGCTTGTTGGACACTATACTTAGATTATACTGTTCAGTGTGGCTAAGAGAGGAATAAAATTTAATTTTCTGTTCGTGACTAGCTTTTTGGTGAGAGATATTATCAACTTGTTGTCTGGTTTAATTTTCAACAATGTCCAATTCTTGGCCCTATTGGCTTTGATTATTTGATACAAGCTCATGATATCTTGTTGATTTTATTGGAATTGAACAAGCGTTCTCCCAATTGTTTAGTGAGATGTCAGAATGATACTGAGATCCTTGTTTTAGAGTCTTAAGTACAAGTAAAACTTGTTTTATAGTTTTACTAAATCATCATGGACAAGAGTGCTTTTCCTGGTCCAGTGTTATTTCATTGTTTTGTATTTGTACTTACACCTGGGGGTTATAATCAAAGTTATAATGGCATTGATAATGACTTAATGGTTGATAGTCCTGAGTTCCTTTTTATTTTTTTGGCTCGAAACAATTAAATTTAAGCTCCTGATATTCCATTTTCTCTAAGCTTGGGTTTCAGGCAACCTTCTTATGCTGACTTCTGTTAGATCATCCATAGAATTGACAAGTTTTTTAGGCATAAAACATAAATGCACCGACAGAGTTTATGGATATTACTGCAAAGGTAAAAGTACTGGATATCGTTAGTTATGAATGTTAAATGGATCAATGTCCTCATCTTCAAGGACTACGTTCAAGATCAAGTGGTTGAAAATGGAGTTTTTATTTATCGATCTGCTTTGGCCAATCTTTTTTTTTAAGAAAAAAGGAGGACAAAGTAGAGAAAACTATTCTAATAGCTTATCAATTACTCTTGCTTTTCTTGTTATCCATATTTCACTTGAAATTGCCTAGTAGTAACCATTTGAAGACTCCATGGTTGTTGTTAGAATTGATGTTTATGCTTCAAGTCTTTATTTGCTGTGGAATTTTTCATCCAACCTGAATTGACAAATGGCTTCATTACTCCTTTCTTGGTTCTCTTCATTGACATGCAAAATTTTGTAGTGGTCCAGTGGTAATCATGGTTCTTGAAAAACCACATGCTATTGATCACTGGCTCGATTTCATTGGGCCTGCTGATGCATCAAGAGTAGAACCCTCCACGTAAGATTCTTCACAATCTAGTACTGTTTCATTTTAAATATGTCCAATATGCTTCTCTCCTATAGCTTTCTTGTTTTGGTGTTCTATGTCATTCGCCTGTAGCTAGCGAGTATGAAAATTATTCTTTTTGTAAGGAACTTTCTTTTTCCTCTATTGACATCCAGGGTTATGTAATTCTATTTGTGAAAAGATCTATGGATGGGATAGTTCATTCTCCATTTCTTAATAAAAATGACTTTTAGGAAGCAACTATGCTGAAGCCCTAATGACGTGGGTGGAAATTTTGAGTAACTTATTTGCATAGAAAGGATTGCATTTGGCCTATTTTCTGGAGATTATGAAATAATGTAGATACCCCCACAGAAATTGATGATATTTTAGAGTCCCTTACCCCGAGCCACATCAGCCTAGTGAACCCTAGGACACACTGAACCATATTCCACTCCTGAATCAGAATCCAACCTTAGAAATATTTGCTAAATATTCCCAAATATCCCATTTAGGAGCCTAGTACCCAAATAGGCACGTCCTAAGTGTAAAAAAAATAATAATTCAAAACCACTGAATTGAAGTCCGTAGAGCAAAATATGACAACATATTTTGCCAAATTAGGCAACCATGTAACGAATCGTGGCAGCTGAGCAAGAAAATAGCTCAACGACGTGCCCTGAGTCAATGAAGCACAGATGATCCATATTTAATCCAGATTTGCCACCTTCTGATATTGGCAAGTTCTGTCTATAAAAGGGTGTCTCCTGTACCTTTTTCGGAGGTTTTTAGAATGCAACCCTAATCCTAGCTTCTCAATCTTCTGTCTTACAAACCCTAGAAATCTCGGGGGTCTATGTGGGGATTTCACAGACCCTAATCCTCCTGCAAATTCAGAGAACCCTAGGAGAAGAACATCCCTCTTAGACAAAACCAAAGCCTAGAAGCAAATTCCTAGGAAAAATCCCCGGAGTTTAAGAAGATTTTGGTTCAGTCAAAATTGAAGATCAAGGAGCAAGACTCAACATTTTCCGTTTGATCAAGGCCCTACCTCCAAGTGTTGGGCTTAGAGGGCCGGCTTCCTAGGTATTTATTTTTGTTTCCTTATTTTCTTTGTTAATAATTGATGTTTATTTCTGAAATATTTTTAAAACCATTGCTCCTATTTTCTTATTATTTTTAAAGGTTTCTTTTCAGGTTTTACGAAAATCAAAGCCAGTTCTGCAAATGATTTGTGAAGAAAGGGTCTTTTGGGAGCGATACCTTATAATTCGTAATCCACGGAACCCCATTCCCTACTGATCTTTAAATAACTAAGTTTGGACACAAATTGGGATGGGATAGACTTTGCTTTGTCCATTTTATCCCTGATTTTGCATGTAAACAAATAGCAAGATTAGTCAATAGTCTTCATTTATTCTTTCTGCTATGCAAGGATTAGACCTTAACAAACTAAGAGGGTTGTGGAGATAGCCTCCCATGTTAACCACACACAAATAATAAAGAAAACCCTACTCTTTATGCGTCTCGCGTACGGTTCGGAGGCCGTGCCCCAGACCCTCAGGCCAGCCCGGCATAGCTTGGCAACTGAAAGACTTGATTCTTGATTAGGGACTGCTCATCTGGGGGAGCAAAAAACATGAATTCAGTAAGGCAGGTATGTGCAAGGAAGACTGAGCAATTCATTATCCAAAGTAAGTATTCTTGAATCCTCTTCAATCACATTTGGTTCAATGCAAAGTCTTGGAGAATTGATAAGCTATCTTCATTCCCCTTCAATTACTTAGAAGCTCGAGTCATCATTACTATTTCCATTACTGGTGAGATAAACAAGATGTTTTCGACTTGTAGAGAAGCTTTTGGGAAAAAGTTGAATATCAAAAATAGTTATTTATGATTCATTTCAAGATTCCTCGGCATCTAGCAATTCTCATAACATGAGAGGAGCCCCTTCAAAATGAGAGAAGGTTCTTTGACCACATGAAGGTTTGACAGAATGTGGCCAAATCTTCGAATTTCAAAAAAAAAAAAAGATTAAGCTTATGATCTTATCTTACCCTTCCCTATCTTTATGAATCTCTC